GTCATTTTCTGCTTTAAAGGTCTCTGCGTGTCACGTTGTCCTCTCACATTCCCAGGCAGATGACTCAGCGGTCTATAGAGATCTGAAGGGAACTACACAGTTTTGAATAAATGCTATTAGTTTCCTGTCAGTAGCTGTCTGTACAGTGTAATACTTTCAAGTAAACTCATAATGAAGTAGTTTATAGAATCTCAAGTAAAATCTGAGACCGGAGAGTTCAGTATCCCTACTGTGTCATTCGGCTCTGTACAGTGAAGATGTATCACATAAGACGTTTTTCATTTTAAATAAACTCAGGAATTGTCAAAGTGGATAAATTGGCCTGTGGTAGCAAATTACCACATGGGGGCGCCAGCTTACACAGTATCAATGCTCCTACAGGCAACCAGTGTTGCCCATGGTGTTCAGATTTTGGTGGCGGTGGGAGGTGGTGGTGGGACAGGGGTAAAATGGAGTGCAAGCACACCCTCCTCACACTGAAAAGGTCACTGTCTTCCCTGAGCTTCATGACCAGACTGTGTTTTTCTTTGAAGAGCCACAGCTGAGCGCTCAGGAGCAGGAGGAAGTCCTTTATTAACCTGGGAATCAACAAGCTCTGATGGCAGGAGACGATAACAGTATGCAGGTGTTTGAGTATACTGTAACAAACACACATGCGCAAACAAGCACGCACGCACACACACACAGGGCCATAATAAAATTCCAAGTTTAATATGTACATGCTTTACTTGGATCACAGTATGTGATTGTGAAGTACTTGAAGAAGCGATGGGATATTTCCACTGTGTAGTCTTTCATCGTGTTTCTGTTTGACTGTGACCTAGATTTCTCTGGGGAAGTACGCACTTCGTTACTACATATTGTACAGTTTGTGGTTATTGTCCCTTTGTGTATTTGTGTGTGGCTCTGTGTGCGTGCGTGTGTGTGCATGCATGTGTTTGTGCATTCATGCACATACGTATCAGTGCCAGGATCTTTGGGTTTTACAACTGTCCCTGTCATATTTTCAGAGGCGATGACAAGCGCAGAGAAATGAGTTGCCTTTCAGAGAGGGCGACCAATTATTGTTTGGTATTTTTATTGGTCCAAAAAAGTTTTAAAAATACAAATGATCGTATTTTTATGGCGCTCACGCTCCACGCTGGTCTTCTTTGTGCTCTGTAGAAATGATTCCTCTAGAGGCCACAGAGTTCTGGGTCTTAGATTGGATGGAAGACAGACGGGTCGACCGGGTTTGTGGTTCTGCTGTGGAACAAACTGCTTTTAGATTGCGACTTTGCGCCAGAGAAACAGGGCCCGATACCGTTTCACTAACTCTCTCCCATTACATTAGAACTCAGCTTGTCCTAATCATGATCATACTCTACAGACTGCAACCACAATGCAACAGCGAGTCTCCCAATGGGTTTCTAAGCCCACTCAGAAACTCATTGTTTTGTTGATAGCTGTTAACTTTCCAACTTCACAGAAATGTATTTCAGCTATTGCTTGAATCTTCACCCTTCACTTTAAATATTCCAGAATAAATAAATGCAATTTGATGACAATAACTCACTTTTCACCCACTAGTTGATAAATTACAAAAGATCATTTGTAATCCATCTTTGTTCCTTTATAAGCATATTTTTTGCATTACAGTATTGTAAGATTTTTAAAATCACAGCTGTAATACCCCTCTGCGCATAGTTTTATTTTTATTTTTTTACATAATTATGTCAATGATGACTCGGCAGTTAGTCAACTACTATTTTGCAAAAGCTGTTAACGATTAAGGATCACTAGCCATGAAATCTCCACAACCCACAGCCTCCCAAAGACTTGGAGCGCTTTACTATTCAGCTCTTTTTTAGAGTTACAATGGTCAACAGCATTGCAAAGTCAAGGTCAGTGGAAGGTAACTGATTCCCAAATGTGAGGAGAACCCGGTCCCGTCCTATCAGCTCGTAGATAATGTTATCGGAGTCAAAACAGTATGGTTGTAAACAGTGGGGAGCCATATGTGTGGGAGATGACTGAGGCAGACGTCATGATTCCTCAAGAGAATACACACTCACTGAGACAGACAGTCCACACCGCAGTGCCTGGCCCATAGAGCCATGGTAGCTGCCTATCGTAGGTGGTCTATTTCAGCGGGAGGTGTGTGTGGTTGGAGAGTGGGATGACATATGCACAGCGGTTTAATGATAAAAGCCTCTGTGTGTGTGTGTGTGTGTGTGTGTGTGTGTGTGTGTGTGTGTGTGTGAGAGAGAGAGAGAGCGAGAGAGAGAGAGAGAGAGAGAGAGAGAGAGAGAGATGCGGGAGTATAGTTTGCCTCGTACGCTGAAAGATAAAATGAATGACTGCTGTTCTCATCATAACAACCAAGCTACTGGAAGGTAGCCCCCGCCCCCCCAACCCCTCCCAAAAAGGCATACAGCTGCCCTGCGCCTCGCCTGTCCACAAAAGGCATTTCTCTTCGGAGAGTGTGTTTTCAGTTTGAGAATTCTGACAGAATTCCTCACCCTCTTTCCCATATCCATGTCTCACGTGACTCATTCTCATCCACTGGTACAAGGTTTTAAGTTGTGTTTAGCGTTTTTCTGCACAATTTGACGGAAGGCCGAGCAGCGAGGCTAAATATTTCATCTCGGGGTTGTTATTTTGTGCGACCAGGCCAAAGCAAACTTAAGCCTGGTGAAGAATGTAATCATTTATCTAAGACCAGGGGCGACATGCTCAATTTGACCTGAAATAGGGTTCTGTGCTGCCCACAGGGACAGGGAGCAAGAGTGTGCATGAGTGCATATGTATATGTTTCGGTGCGTATTTAGGAAAACCAGGTATGTCAGGCTACTGAGCTGCTATAACAGGGCCAAATCCTGATATTTGGTTTGTTTGTACTTCCTCCCGTGTTTACTGTGGGTCGAGATAAGCATGCTACAGCGTCAGTCTTGTGTAATCTGTTGGGGTTCACCAGCGTTTGATGATACAGAGATCGTGAATGTTAGAATGTGTGTAGCTTTAGCCCTCAAGTGCCTACTTCCCTCCAAAATGAGCGAATCATACCTCTTCAGCCGACTTACTTCAAATGAGAGAAACATGAGAATAAATGAGGAAACCAGTATAACCCTCGCCTCTCTCTCTGTCCCTCTCTCTCTCTTACAGTGTCCGCCCTAAAATCCCATCTAACACACCCATGGCAATCATGAATTGCTGCAAATTTTTATCTGACTTTTGGTAGTGTGAAGCTTTCCCATCATTCCCTGAAGGATTTAATGTCCCTATCGCTCGTGGACTGACCTACCGGAGCCTTTAGCTTGGTTGTGTAATGACTGTCATTAACCTATCAAGATCTGCCAAAGGGTCCCGGCTGCTTTTTCCCACCCCCTCCTGCCACTTTCCCTCCATTTCCAAAACCAAGATGGCTCCTTTAAGCCCTTGTTCTTGCCCTCTGGGGAGCAGAGAACACCAAAGTCTACAGTCTAATTGGATTCATTTGTAAAATAGCTGTGGAGATTTGGACATTATCTATCTATGTACCCATGACTGGAATGCAGCTTATTCTCCCCACTGGACGTTTTTTACCCTGTCACCATTTCAGTTAAAATGTGGTCTCTTGATGGCCTGAAGTGCTTTTCTTGTTTTTATTGGATTCTCATGTTCATTAAATAATGAATTCTTTTCAGTGCATATGCCTCTCTTTTGTACAACCCAAGCCCTGATCTGAGAAAGGACCACTTGGGTCAAATATGGTATTAATGCGTTGCAGCAGTGAGTGAATGGTGCTTTGTCTGTCTGAAGAAATGCTCTCTGCTGGTGTATAGATCTCAAGGAATCTCAGGGAATCCATCGACCTTTTAAATTGAACTACCCATTGTTTCATCAAGATGAACTCAGCATTTAAAGGAATGCAGAGTGTGCTTATAAAAATTATTATGAGCCACAAGCAAGTCACTATGTCTGTATGTCCTGTCACCAGATGTGCTGTCCCTTTGTAACTAATTTGTAGACCTCTGGAGTTTCATTGCGCTGCACTGTGTCCTGCTCCAGCTGCATCTGCTAGTGTTTTGTTTTGGTACAGCTTGAGGCGTTTTGTATTTGTGTGTGCGCCGGTGTGTGTCCGTGTGCGCCTCTGTATGTGTCCTTGTGTGTGTTTGTGTTCTGTTTTGCAAATGATCATCAGATAAAGGCTGTTGAGCACCACAACTGGCTATTACACCACCTCTTTAGCGACATGAGGTTAGCCACAGAAAGGCAGATGTAGAGACGCAGTCCTCAGAGTCAATGGGCTGAATTAACTCTTAGTGTAACGCTGGTAATCTGGTACGGAAGCTGTCACAGTTAACCACCCCTTTTGTTGGACTGCCCTGTGGAGACTGTCATGTTTAAAGTGCTGCTGTTGGTAGAAAACTGCATTTCAACTAAAACTGTGTGTTCATGCTGGAGGAGCTGTCTTGATCCATATCTTCTGTCACAACAGATCAATACAGAAAAAAGCAAGTAAACAAACAATGACATCACAGGTGACATCGACCAGGCACGCTTCTTTCTCAGTGGCTTTGTTGTTTACACCTCTCCACAAAGCTTTTTGCTTAAAAGAAAGAATTAACTTCCATTTTCCTCATGGATGCAACCATAATTGTTTTGACCCAAGCCGTACAGTGGAGGCTTTCATTGCTGCTCATCTTTGAGATGCTGGGCCAGAATGGAAGACATTACAGCAGGAAATTGGAGAATGCAGCCAGCGGCTGAGCCCACTATTCAGTGTCCAGATTCATCTTCTCGATGAGTCAGTGGTCAAAGGGATAATTTCTTTTTGTGGTACCAAAGTACCACAAAGTCTCCAGTCACGATAATCCAATTAGGCACATTGTACCAATGCTACTTAACATTTCAGGTTCAGTCTAAACTTTTCTCCCCATGGCTCTTTGAATTTCTATTATGGTTATGTGTTTGTTTCACATCAGTATCCTCCTAACCTCAGCTCCTCTCTTTCTCTGTCTCTGTCCTTCTCTCTCCAGATCGAGAACCTGTTGGAGCAGTTAAAGGATAAGGACAAACAGCTGGCTGGGTTGAGGGAAAGGGTTCAGGGCCTCCAAACTGATTCCAGCAACACAGACACAGCGCTGGCCACACTGGAGGAGGCTCTGTCAGAAAAGGTAAGTGAGGGACAAGGGGAGGGTGAGGTCGGATAGCAAGGTTGAGGGAGCTGTTACTCTGTTGTTGCTCTGGGTGGTGTGAGGGATACAGCATGCTATTGATATAGAGGCTAGAACTTGTTTGTCAGATGTGGACAATAAAAACTCACAAAGTGAAACCATGAGACCTCCGCTTGGTCTGGAGCGATCTGGAGATTTTTACCCATTGAGCCACACTTGTCTTTCAGGAAGCTGGTACATGGCATACGGCTTAATTGAGTTGCGTGCTTTGCTATGACTCACTGCCATAATTTACAGACACAGCCTCCTAATTTATAGACCCTGGACCACACTAGATGAGGTCCCATCAAAAAAAACAGTGAGGGAGAGAAGGAGGCACTGGGAGGAGGGAGGTCTTAAGGTGAGCATAGACAGAGGATTAGTCCTTGTCTGTAACTGTGTTGAACATAGGGAGGGAATGATCTATAGAATAAGAGGAGGATAGAAGTTTTGAAAGGGGGAAGGATGGAAGGATGGAAAAGCAGAATGGCAGAAGAGGCACAGCCCTGATGGAAGAGGTGGCCTCAGAATTAAGGGAGGGAGAGGTCAAGGAATGCAAGGGCGGAGGCAGAGTTAAAAAATGACTAACTTCTGCAAAAGCATATGAAAGAAGAGAAAGAACAGAGCAGGAAAGAAAAATTCAGACAACACAGCCACACACATACAGTATATATATATATATATATATATATATATAAGAAACTAAATAACTGTGACATAGCAAGAGAGATAATGCAGACACAATGTAATGTAAAGTCTCAATGGGATGTGTACATCCCCAGTCCAATGTTAGTTTAATAATATCAAGTTTGTGTCTGACTCTGTTCTGTAGTTTGTCAACTGGATCTAATTGCTTTTTTGGATTTACGGGTCTGCGAATCCTCAACAAGCAGTATAACAATCACAGTCCTATATGTGTCTATATGAAGAACCAGATACATTACAGTGTAAAACCATAGTGCTGAGAAACTGTGATTCAAGGTGAGCTAAGCAGACTTACTCCACAAAGGCGGATGGGTGAGTCGATGGGCTGGATGTTGGTCGTAAACATTCAGTGTTTGTTGTTTTCTGGCAACATGAGAGAGCAGCTGGTCTCCATAAAGCCTCACTTCAACACTACTGAGCTAGCACGCCGCCACTCACACCAAGAGATGAATAGCCTCGCTGGACGGCGAGGTTTTTTTGTTTTATTTTCTATTCTTTTCAGTAAAATGCACTGCATTTCAACGCACAGGTCATTTACCCCCCCCCCCCCCCCCCAAAAAAAAAAAAAAAAAAAAAACTCTGTTGATTTGACAGTATTCCTGGGGAAATAAGTTACTTTTGAGAAGTTGGAATTCTAACGCAAATTCTTGCTTTGAATAGTGGTGTCTTTTCTTTTCTTTTTTTTTTGTCTACACAAGTCCTTAGCAATGTGTTTATGGTTTCTCACTCATGGTTACAGGGTGCCAGCGATTTCTAATTGGAGACAGGCTTGAACACAGGATAGATTTGATGTTATATACTGTACTGACCATGACCATGGAGATGTCAAACCCTAGTCTGGCAGCATATACATGCTACCTTGAACTGACTGGCTTGATTTCAGAGTGACTCCATCTTGCTTAGCTTTGTTACATGTTTAAAGCTGTTGCTAACACACATTTGTTGGTACTACGGTCTAAAAAATGATTGTTCTGGCGCTGCAGGCTAAAAAAAAATGGTTCCCATTTGCATGTTTGTTTGTACTTCAGGCTAAAAGATGGATGCTGGTTTACATTTTGTTGGCACTGACTTCTGGTTAAGAGTTTATAGAGTTCCCACTCAGGACAGATGTGGACGTCCAGCGGTACTGCTTGTTTTCCAGTGGCTGCCTCACTCTTATATGCTCCAATGTGAACACACTGTATATGTGTATATTTATGCCTTTGCATTTGTTGTTACATATTTTAGTTGGCAACATTGGCTTATTTTACCTGTGATGAGTGATGCATCATGAATAGAACTGGTAGCAACTTCTGAAAAGGTGATGTCAAAACCAGGTCAGAGATCAATGTCAATCCACATTCTCCACTTAATGTCTATACAGCAGATACATTAGCACTGACTCAGCCAACAATGCTTCCTTATTATAACATTTTTTAAAATTATTTTTTTTGCTCAGTTCTCACATAATGTTAAGTGCTTTGACACAGATCATGTGACAGCAGCTTTAATGGAGTCGGACACAGGGATGCTTTTTAACCGTTGGCAATATGGCCAAAACTGTTGTCACTGTTATTTATCATTTATAATGACTTTTTATTTTTTTGTTGTTGCCATTTTTACCTTTTTTTATTTGACAGTCCACAGTGAAGAGACACACAGGAAACATGGAGGGAGAGAGAGAAGGGGTATTACATGCATACATACATCCCGGCAGGAATTGAACCGTGGATGTTGTGGCATGTGCTGGAACCATTTGGTCGCCAGAGCACTCCACCTATTTTTAATAAAGACTATGAGGAAAAAAAGTTGGATACAACTATTTTCTGAAGCCACAATTTCCAAGTGTCACATGGTGCTGTTGCTGAGTACCCCTCCATCCTGGACTGCCTGTGGGTCGTTTCTTGAGATGTAGCAGATGTTGGTTGTGACTGATGACATGTTGCGTAATCCGAAGGGTGAAAGCGGTGAAGGTGACAAAATAAGTTTGTTGTATTCCCGCTCTTGGTCGGGACGGTTTTCCTGCACAGTTTACACACAACAGTGTTCTGATATGCACTTAAAGACACCAAAGACCTGCCATACTGGCAAACTGAATTCATATCCATTCAATTAAGAATTGTTTTCCTTTGTGCTCACAGGCCTCAGTTTATTAATAGACTGGATTTTGGCTGATTTGTGTTTCATTGTGTTTGCAACACATGGACCGACACAGCGCATAGATGTTTTCACTTAGAATAATCTTTTATCACCTAAATTTGTTTTTGTTGCCGACAGACTTTGAAATGAATAGCATAATGGTACAATAAACTGTAAATCCCTTTTCTGTGTCGGTCCATCTGTTTACCCAGAAACCACTTCTGATGCAGCCCTACATATTATTCAGCTGTGATGAGGAGAACATTGGCGATCTTTTCAGACTTTGTGGTCAACACAGGGTGTGTGTAATGTGTTTACAAGAGCGAGTGTGTGTGTTGCTAATCACACACCCTGTCACAAACCTGCTCTTGGAGCCAGTCGCTAGCCACAGTACTGTGGTTCTAATTAACAGGCTGGGGCATTGTGCCCATACCGAGCCCTGCTCTTCAGTGTATTTGTGTGTGTGTGTGTGTGTGTGTGTGTGTGTGTGTGTGTGTGTGTGTGTGTGTGTGTGCGCGCGCGCGTGTGTGTTTTTGTGTGTGCCTGTCTGTGATGTTATGTGTGTGTTTTCTGCTCTGTTTACGTGTGCTCCACACTTAAGGCAGGTTTTATTATCACATCCTGGTCTCTTTCCCTAAACCCCAAACATCCTTCAGATATTTCATAACGTGGGGAAAACACCCAGGACCTATTAACCATGTGGTCTCTCTCCCTCTCTTTTCTCTCTCACTCTCACCCTCTCTTCCAAAGCCCGCTATGCAGTGCGTTACTGTGCCAGGTCTAGTTAGTGGGTGTATTTGTCCAATTACCCAGGGGTTTAAAGCTGCCAATCATGCGGCGATGCCACATCGTAAAGCCTCATTGCTGAGCTGTACTCTGTGCCTAAATAAACACCTGAATAAACACCTTGATAATCACTTCAGTCCACACCTAAACACACACACATACACCTTAACACACCTCTACTACACACACCTTGCATGCTCCGCCACCCATGGTGTGGACCTGGTCTCAGGCCAATGCCCAAAGCCGTGGTCCTCCCGCTGTCCGATGCGATTAGAGAATAGAGAAAATTATGATGTAAACATTCCAACTTGGTTCATCAGCAGGCAACGCGGAGTTGTTAGGAAGTGATCTACAGTGCTTTCCAATCCATTCTCCATAAATCTGTCTCTGTCGCTCAACCCTTCTCTTCCTTCCTCCTTCTCTCTCTGTTCTACTTGGCTCTGACCTCCTCATGTGCCTACTGTTATTTATTATAGTATTATTTATGACGGGCATTTATGAGTTTGTCTTTGGCCGCGCTTCGCGAAGCATGCTGGTGAGCCTATTCAGCAAGAGGCTGGCTCAGATTTTTCAATAATGATAGGAAAGAACTGTAATCACACTGGGCTGACAATCTGTTGCACATTGGAGGCGAAACAACATTCATTTTATTTCATTTCTTAAGTGTGAGCAAGCTTTTATGCAGATAATAACTATCAAGGCCTTTTCCATATCCCCCCTCACACTTCTCGCCAAACTCTCTTTCTGCTTCTTCTTTTTCTATCTCAGGAGCGAGTGATTGAGAACCTCCGGGAGCAGAAGGAGCGGGAGGACAGGGTTCGGCTGGAGGAGCTGGAGCAGATGAGGAAGGAGAACCAGGAATTAAAGGACAAACTCTCGGCCCTGCAGCCCCAAAAACTGTCCCCGAGCCAGGCCACCAACCCGAGCCCGACCCAGAACCAGAAACCTGATGGAGAGGTCAGTCCGGAAAAGATTTGATGCTGTTAGAGCATCTTCGGAGGTGATGTTGTGTAGATAACCAAAAAGGTGCACGAGTGTGTGTCTGTGTGTGTGTGTGCACGCGGTATGCAGAGTTAGTAATATTTGCAGGTATGTGTTCGCTGTTGTTGTAATCGTTCTCCAAATATTACATTTAATCTGAAATATCCATAAATGAAATAAAAACTCAAGGTTGGAAACCCTGTGCATGTTGGTACGAGCACCGTGCACAACAACAACTCAAGATTGCCAGTCTGGTATGTGTGTGGACTGCAGACAAACAGCCATTAATATTTCATCGTTATCCACATTATAGCAGACTTGCACATACCTCACCACTTGTGCCAAGCTCTTAAATGAGCCCAAACACAAAATCTCATTTCACAGATATCATAAAGCAAATAACAACTACCTTTCTCACAAATTTTTACTGCTGAATACTTCAAACGAACGCCATGACACTTTATAATTATTTTTTTATTATACAAAAAGAATTAAAAGAATTAACTTTTACAACCGCTCCGCAGTGGTTGTAATATGCTGCTTGTAACCTGTATTTACACTGCTAACATCTACAGTAATAGTAATTCCATTCTCTTACCTCCCTGTGAGCATCCACAATATTGTTAGTAACTCCCTAGCAAAGGGCCTGCCTGCACTTTGTCCCACAGGATAAAGGGATGAATTAAGAGAGAGTGATTTATGGACGTAAAAGATCCCTCAATCCCTGTTCGGGTGCCAAGCCAGAGGCCTTGCTGTCTCTTTTTTCTCTTTCTTTTTCCTCTCCCGGGCTTACAAGCCAGGACAGACTCTCGCCCTGACAGAATTTATGAGAATGTTTTCTTTTATACTCATAAAAAGTATACACACATCTCATTCCTGTGAAATGATATCTTGTTGAATTTTGACGCGGCACCACATGAAAGGGACAACAGCTCAGTAACTCTTTGTAGCGAGCAGATTCACACTCCGACAGAAGTGTTGCCATAATTGGACTGTTGTGTGTGTACTCGGCAGCAATCAGAGCTGTTATGTAAACTTACAGATTCTTCAGAAAGACAGATGATGTTTGCGTGTTTATGTTTATGAATATGTGTGCATGTGCGTGTGTGTGTGTTTTTCCCAGTGTGCCTGTGCATGCATGCCAGCACAGAAACAACCGTTTCTGTATGTGTGGTGCGCATACAGTATGTATGAGCGTATGTTGAAGTGCGTTTGAGCCCATTGTAGTGCACTGGACTGTAACAGGTTGTGAGTCTGTGATACTCAGTAGGTCAGAGGTGAGCTGACACGCTGCCTGAGATTAGATTCTGATCAAGCTGACCGAACACACACACACACACACACACACACACTCGCGCCGCCATCAGCCAGCGAGTGACAGACTGCCGCGTGCGCTTTAGTTTTAACTACTGCAATACTATGTTATGTACAGTAAAACCTTCACTCCAAGGTGTTGTAGATGTAGATGGCAGGAATCCAGCACAAATCAAACTTTAATAAAAAAAAAACAAAAAGAAGACAGTTCCAAGACACGGTCAAACCCTACATGTCGTCGCGACCTCTGCACTCCTTGGCCTCCTGGCGATTCGCTGCACCATCACTCTGAATAGTCCTGTGGTCGCTCCTCTCTGTCAGCATGGTGGAATGAACTGCTTACTGAAGTCAGGAATCCAGACACACTGGTCCGCCACATGCTGAAAAACGTCCAGCAAATTGGCTGAATTCTCCTTGTGACTCGTGTTAATACGACCAGAATATTGCTGTCATTGGGCAAACTGGTTGTTTAACTATACAGTAGCTCACCACTGGTCCAATAGTTGTGATGCTAATCAAGAATTACCCCCTTAAATGGAGAAATGAGCGTTTTGCCTGACAACGCTGAAACGTCGCCATTTACCTCTCGAGCAGATGTAGAGTTTGTGTAGAGGTTGTGTACACGCAATGACCCGCTCACTGTATCTGCAGATGTTTGTATTACTGACTCAGTCAAGCTGTTAGCGGAGCTTTTTATCTTGACCCCAGAGCTCTGTTGAATTCATTGCATCCCCATCCTCTTCCCATAAAACCGTATTTGTTGATTCCGAGGGTTAATAAAGGACTTCTGGAACTAAACACTCGCTCTTCAAAGAGAAAAACAGCAAAGAACCTCGGGGAAGGCACTGACCTTTCCAGAGAGGGTTGGTTTAAACCGGCAAGGAGGCACCACACCTCAACTGAGTCTCATTCAAAAGACTGTCTGGTTTTTTTTTTAAAACAGGTGGATGGTATATGGTCTTACTTGTTGTCTGTTTTTATGAAGACTAATCAGACATTAATTTTTGCACAGAAAGAGTAAAATTAGATTTAGTACAGTTACGTCTAAGATACACATAGACAGAAACTACCTCCAGGAGTCAAAGTCTGTTTCTTAAAGTCTTAAAGTCTTAGTGTTGCCTCAGTGTTGCTGGGTATTCACTAACCAGGAGTTAAATAACCCAGTGCAGAGCCCTGTGACCACACATATTTTACTTATTTGTAATATTTACACTTAAGAGACATTTCCAGGAATGATAATAATAATTTCTATGACCATATATGTAATCGTATCTTTACGGGCCTTCCCCCTCCTGTCATAATATCACAAATTCCTGTTGGACCCACCATCCTCTCACCCCCTACTTTCTGCCTGTCTGTGTTACTCACTGAAAGAACATAACAAACTCCGGTCCACTTAAGACTAATGCGTTTTGGGCGAGCTAAGATTGGGCTGGATGTGTGTGCACGAGTGTATGGGGCTTGGCGTGGAGGTGACGGGGTGAGGAGGACAAGGCAAACAATGATTCTGCTTGCCATTCCAGAGGGCCAAGTGTTCAGCTTTTTCACAGGATTTACTCCAGGCATGTCTGTAAACACGTACAGGGACAAGCTCATGGGGCTCTTTAAGGTCACATACTGAGACATAGAATGGATGGGAAAGTGGTCTCATATTGTAGACAGTTTAATCAAAACTCCATGAACACACATATACTGTACACACCTATAACACAAGTCCACATTTTACATATACAAATGTATTACAGAACCTTGTTATCCATGCATCCATTATCCTCCATTATCCATCCTTGTATTTTAAGTGCAAGACCTTTCAATCATTTAGCAGTGCTCCATATGCTGAATCTCCCATATGCAGGGGCCAAGTTGAGCATTTTGTTTATCTGGTGGGTTTGTGATAATTAGAAGGAGGTATTTGTTCAGATTGGCTGGTGGTAATAGTTAACAGACACTCTTTGGGTTTTTTTTGTTTTTTTCTAATGACAGACTCAAGCAGAGCTGCATGTACTGTCCTAGATTTATGTAGACCTGACAATAAATTATTTAGTGTGTGTGTGTGCGCGCGCGTGTGCGTGCTCACTTGATGATGTTTAAACGAGTGGCCTCAGCTGTCTCAACAAGTTAAACAATCTTCACAAACACAGTCGACAGAGAGGTAAAGACCAAGAGAAAGAGGGAGAAGTGGAGAGAAAGATAATTCTAGGTTACAAGCTTCCTCTGGGATATTTTTCTGTGTAGCTCTCTCTGTTTTTTTTTTTTTTGTTTTTTTTTTCGTCAACATTTTACTTAGAAAAAAACACTGAGCTGTTTGGTGGTCTCATAAAATCGCAGCCAAACAGAGGGAGACGGTAATTTTATAATGATAATGACTGAACTCCACATGAAGGACGCCCCGGGGAGGCGACTGATAGAAGCAAACCACAGAAAAGCAGGCAGCAGTAGGAACCGGAGGGGTGGGGTGGGGTGGGGTGGGTGGGGTGGGGTCAAGGTATGGGGGGTGGGGGGGGTGATGAAGGGATGAGAGCGGATGAGGGTACAGATTGGTTCTGCTTCAGCTAGACTGTGACCCAAACCACATATACAGGATTGACTTACCTTTTCCTTTAGGTTTCAAAGCTGCCCATGTGATTTGATCTCATATCTGACCCTGTGCAACAGTCAGTGTCCAATCATTCAGTCCTAGAGGATGTAAAAATTTTAAGACTCTACTTGGTTCTTATACTATATTCTTATTCTTCCTTTGTCATGTCGTTTTCTATCAACTTCTAGGTGCCAGCCAAAGTAGATGGTCTACCAGCAGTAAGCCCCACGGTAGGTTCATTATATTTTATGCCTCTTGTTTGTTTGTACTTGTTCGTGTGTGTGTGTGTGTGTGTGTGTGTGTGTGTGTGTGTGTGTGTGTGTGTGTGTGTGTAGAGGCCATTTTAGGACTCACTTTGTCTAGCTCAGCTCTCTATTGCCAGACCTGGCTTAACCTTAATCAGTCTGAGCTATACTTTGTTACGCTCAGCTCAACGTGCATCAGGCCCATCTGTCCTGGTCATTTTCAGCTCCACTTTGTCATTGGTAACTTTACTTGGTCAGTCTGAGCTACACTGTCACCCTGAGCTGTACCTATCAGCCTCAGCTGTGGATCATTGGCTTCAGGAGATGACATGTTAGAATGCTAATGATTAAGCACTAATGTATCTCCATGATGCTACCGTGTCTTATCGACCACTCAAAGCGCTTTTCACTACAAGACACATTCACCCATTCACTCATGCAGCTATATTGTCTATATGTATAGTGCCTCTCTATCACACACACTAACACACACACACACACACACACACGATACACCAGGAGCAATTTTTGGGGTTCAATAGCCCAAGGAAACTTCGACATTTGGACCAGAGGAGTCAGAATTCGAACCGCCAACCTTCCGATTTGTGGACGACTCGCTCTAACATCTACATATCAGAAAGTAGCTGGTTCAGGAAGACTTCCGTGTTAATGAATTTACTGACAACTGACAGCTAAGGCTAATGGATGTTGAGGCGAGTGTGACAATGACCTTATCAAACAGCAGTACTTGAAAAGCTGAGTCAGAGATGACCTAGACTGTTCTTTGATGCTGTCCTAATAATAATTTATTATTTTAACTAATGTATCCACTTCCTCTCCCCCCCTCCTCAAAGATCCAAAACACAGAAGAAGCAGTCAGGAAGTGTCCAGACATCACAGATCGTTTGAGGCTTCTGGAGCAGGAAGTGGCCCGCTACAGAGAGGAATCCGGGAAGTCACAAGCTGAGGTGGAGAGGCTAATGACTGCTCTGCGGGACGCTGAGATGGACAAGTCGTGCAAGGAGAAGAAAATTGCTGATCTGGAGAGGTGAGGGTCAAAAATTCAGTGACATTCATATCCATCACAAGACGCCATCTGGGTGTCCTCAGAGAGCAGTGTCCTTCCAAGTGACCGGATCTTTGTAAGATCTCAATTCATTCCTAAGTGCTCTATTTATAAAGGAGTAATCCACGAGACATAAACTGTCTAGATTGTGTCCTCCCACCACTTGAACCCACTTCCATGCTGTCATGCTTTTTGCCTGATGTAATCACACTCTAGAAATGCATACTTGTGACCCATATGTATGTACATGTGTGGCTTTTAATCGCTTGGCTTAATGTCTTATCGTTTGTTTCTGTGTATCAATGTCTGCAGACCCGGGTAAGTAGTTATTAGTGTTCCCGTTAAAAACGCCATCAAAATACCGCCAACACTGTCCTCAGCCATTACTCTTGACTTCATGCCATGACTGTTGGGCTGATCTTAAACTTTCCCAGGTATAAAGTTGGAAATTGGGGCATTTTGGCTCAAATCTGGTTCCCAGAAAGCTCAGATTTGACTATCCCATTGGGACGGTTAATGTACAACACATTTACGCCAAACAATCACGGTCCTCATTCCTGTCACAGCAATAACACAATGAGAGACTTTATATGTTTTCCTGAATTATATGACCGGAGACATATAGCTTCTCTATTGCACTGACTTCTGCAAAGCTTCTTCACATTTCACTGCTATCATGAGTGCTGTGTGTATTTCTTCATATCATACTCACTTTAAATGATGTTGGTGTGTGTGTGTGTGAGTGTGTATGTGTGTGTTTTCACATGTGTCTGCAAACTCAACAGATAAGTGGTTTTTCTTTCTGTCTTTGCATTACTATAAATGCATACAGTAAATGAGTTTGTGTGTGAGTGTGACTGTGAGAGTGTGTGTGTGTGTGTGTGTGTGTGTGTGTGTGTGTGTGTGTGTGTGCGTGTGTGTGTGTGTGTGTGTGTGTGTGTGTGTGTGTGTTATTGAGTTTGCCAGGCAGGCAGCCAGCGGCATGCCAGTGGGAGGTGGTGTATCCAGCCCAGACACTGGCTGTTTATACTGCTCTGTTTATTACTGGCACAGTGCTACTCAATTATCATCTGATTTATGGATTGGCATGGTGTGTATATGTACCCAAATGAGTGGTTGTTTAGTGCCAACGCAGATGTACTGCATGTGAGTGCTTGCGTGTCTGTTTACTTAATATGTGTGTGTGTGTGTGTGTGAAAAGGAAGCACAGTAAGAGGCGTGTTTTTCTATGCGTGTCTGTATAGAGTGTGTATTTGAACTTGCAGCAGTTACAGTTAGCTGTGTGCTGGTCAGTGTGTCTGTATATGTAGATTGATAGTGTGCGGTGTCTCTGCTGGTGGACCGCCAGCTGCACAGGAGAAGCCACAAGTGTGAAAAATGTATGTGAAAAGAACAATTTTTTTAACACACGCTGGCCCCATCAGGTGTGTTAACGCTAGCTATGGTTCTGAATGGTTTAGAAAGAATCTGGATGGGCTGCATGTACTGGATCCAACACAGTTTCCTGCCTCATTCATTACCCGTTTTACAGACTCTCCACTCTGGCATGGAAACCGTGTGCTGAGTCAAACTCTGTGGGAACGCATGAGCGTCAAGTATAATAGGGATACAGTAGCTCCCGCAGAGTTTGTTCACACAGTCTGCTCTCTGTTTCCCCGTGTGTGTGCGTGTCATGCCTCTGCCTCCACGTCTTCATGTGTGTGCTGCTCACATGCAGCTGTCACCAGAGTGTGTGCATGTACGTGTGCGTGTTAATCTGTGCTTTTAGTTTCTGGATCAGGCGTTGGAAAACTGTCTTTTCCCCACAGCTCGTCCGTCTCATCAGGGCTGCTGTCTCATTAGTGTCCAAAAAGTCACTCCTATCGACCCCCCCACCCCACCCCACCCCTCCCCGGTCAACCCATACAGGTCAGAGGTCATATGCAGGTCAGCCGCAGGTGAACAGAGGAGGATCCACTGCTGCTGTAAAACACATAATATCATGAACAAATGTACAGACTGTGTTTGTGTGACTGGAGTGGAGCTAAGTGGGGCATCAAGTTACTGTACTCATGATCTGATTTAACACGCTACACCCTAAAAGTATGTGTGTGTTTTATATGTGTGTGTGTCGACGCACATGTGGTATATGACAGCATGGGCGGACGAGTTTCTGTGCACTGATTGGACTTCTGTGTCAGACTGCGTGAGATGTGTCCGGGCAGTGGATGAATGTCTTTTTAATCAGAGTGTTTCTGTTGGAACTGGGTCAGATGGCCTATTAACAGCTATCTGGTTGGAGAGAGAGGGGAACAGATGAGGAAATAGACACTTTCTCATCCACTTGGCAATGCAGCAGTGCGAGTAAAAGATGAATGTAGCCAGCGGGTCATTGTAATAAATACCTTCCAGCACAGGGGAGACTCACTCATGGCTCTTTCATACCTCAGATCTCCTTGTGGTTTTCTCTAAGTCATCAGTGATAACATCATAGTTTATGGCTGGTGTTTTTTTTTTTGTTTTGTTTTTCTTACTGTTATGTGTGTAGGTGTAATTCCTAGCTAATCTGCCTAAGTGATCAGTGACACTGAACAGGCTTTATAGAAAGCATCTGCATCAGCTGTTAACACTAATGCCAATAGTTGGATTTGTTAAATAGAGCTCTGTAAGCCATGGTTACTGATCTCTTGGAGCAGTTTGTGTAGATATAGTGGCCTAAAATGGAAAAATGAATTAATTTCTTAGCCTGACATACGAGGAATTCAGTTACGTAGCACTTGAGTGTTTCCCCTGCATCATGCTCCCTACAGCTTATGTAGTTACTAATGAACATCTAAAAGCACAAGAGAAGGAATCCAGTGAACGGCCTATTTGAAACATGAAAAGTAAACATATTTAATAAGTTGTTGCATCGAAGCATCTGCAGTTTGAGATATACGCTGTGACTAAAGTTGTTCTAAAATGGAAATTAGATATTTTATTTTTATATGTCAAGTGAATATAAAGCCTGCCTTTCATTTTCGTTCACTCCTTCCTTCAAGGGTATGTATTGTGAACTAGTGGAATTATTCATCGTAATGCTGTTACAGTCCTATACTTTTAATGTTTCAGCGATAATGTGAGGGCTAAACTTTGAAAAATAAATCAGACTCCCAGTCTCACCATATCACAGCTATAGAAGTGGTAAGCACTGTGGTATGTAAGGGAGGGTTTCAGGAAAAAGGGAGGTGTGGTTGTGTGTCTGTGTGTGTGTGTATATATACATATGTGTACGTACCTGTGTGTGTGTGTGTATGTGTCTAGGGTGAGACTGAGGAGAACACATGACGGTAACGAACCCTGAAGAGTCTGTTGGCTGGGAGAAATCAATGGTCGTTGACGGACAAATATTCATTCACTCACAAACAACCATTTGCACACGTAAACACACACATAAATTTGGGCCTTATTCCTGTGACCATAATCAAACTCCAGATGTGGGGGAGCATCAATCTTGTGAAAACCCACACACACAGTATGCACGCACGCCAAAACACACATAACCTCCAAAGTCTCTGTATATAATATTTCTACATGAAAATATTTGTAAACAGTGTTAATTTCTGTGTATGTTTGCAGGTGTGCGTGCAGTTTGAATGGCCATTTTAGCTCTGAAAGATGTCAACTTCCTGTTTTTTGCGATGTTGAAATATAGTTGCACCTGCACCAGAAACTGTTCTCACAGTTCAAAGCATGGACACACAAACAGACTAGCTATTTCTTCTTTTGTAACCTCCTCTCTGTTTCACCCTGTCACACACACACACACACACACAAGGGCAATATATAAAGGCAACAGTGAAACAGTATTTGTGTTGCGATAAGACATGTCTAAGGACCATAAAGCATCTATCAGTAATAAACAAACTTGTTCTGTTTGGATCTCTCAGCACTGCATCTAGACAAGCGCCTCAGATAAAACTTCAGACTCCCAGTGTTGACCCAACTGCCTCACGCTACACGCTCACAGCTCCTCCACCCCCCCACCCCTGCTCTCCTTTTCCTGTACCCCTCGTCTTTTTGCACTGCTGAGAAAATTTATTTAATACAGATCGTATCTGCCTCTTATTCCATATAGTGTGCAACCCTGAGCACTAACTGCCCTGATGTGTACATGTCTGCCTGAAATCTGAGGATTTCGTTCCACTCTACTGTTTATTAAAAGAAAAGAGGAGGAGACGTAGTAAGAATTAAGGGTTATGAAGTGGGAGATAAAAATCTGGATTTTTTTTTTCCCCTTAAAAGCTTATTACTACCTTTTAACCTTTATTTACCCATGAGCTGACTGAGAACACGTACTCTTTTCCAGCAACACCCCACTTAATATTCACAGTCCCACATTCAGATCTGGGAGCTTCCTGTTCCTCCTGGCCATTCAGAAGCTCTGTTCGGTTACTGCTGGTGCCTTGCTCCCGGGCATGTCAGCTGTAGTCCTCGAGGGAAGTCAGACCAGTATTCATCTTAGTGAGACTCGATTTGTAAGTGACAAAAAATCAGTGACAAACTAGAAGAGAAAAAGAGGAAAAGAATGTCAAAGGGAAAATGGAAAAAGTGAGTAAGAGGAAATATGTACAGAGATACACAAGGTAAAAAAAAAAAAAAAAAAACTAGCTGTGGCTTAACAGCCAGAAATAAAGCGGAGCTGCTTATGTTGGAAGGCGGATGTGTCGAGTGCTCCAGGTGGAAGAAGCGAGAGGAAATGTGAAAAATTACTTATTACGCTCAGTTTAGGAAATGGCTGGACTCGTGCAAACTGCCCCCCCCCCCCCACTTCATCTTTCTAAGCAATGTCACAGCAATAAAATACTATTTTCCCCCCATGAATTTACTCATTTCGGTAATCAGCAAATCAAAGTTCTCCTTCACATTTTCCACTCTCATGCAGCCCAGCCCGTCTGCTCCTTCCTCACACTCTACGTGCCCTCATTTGCCTTCACATTGGTCAAAACACTTATTTCATTTTGCGCTGATGGGCTGATGGGGGACCAGCGTGTCTGCTGGTTTATACACCTGTGCCAGTAGCGGCTGTGTGTGATAGCTGATATGCCCTCATGGCAAGTTTGTTCTCTATGGACATGCATCTGAGCTTATAAAAACACACACACAGACATCAAAGATCAGAGTATAAACAAATTCCTTTTCTCCTCCTCCTCCTCCTCCTCCTTCTCCTCCTCCTCCTCCTCCTCCTCTTCCTCTTCCTCTTCCTCCTCCTCGCTGTGTAAATATGAGTGCACATATACACATGTGTGTACCTATACTTCATTCATAACAGTAACAGAATTGAATGATAATCTGTATTTATGCAGCACTTTTCAAAACCCACTCGTAAAAATGATAAAAAACGTATAAAATCAACAGCAGAGTCATTAAAAAAAGAAATAAAGATACAAACCAGAGACATGAAACGACAAGCCTAATAAACGGTATGTGTAGTTTTGTATAGAGGGAGTAATATCAGATATAAATATTGGTATAAATTTCGAGCACTCCCCTCCTGCTCTGTCTGCTCTGCCTTCTCTTATTATAACCAAAAAAAAATCTCAAGGGTTTTTACTGTCGTGTGTGTGGCAGGATGAGTGTGTATTAAATTTTTACATCATCTTCTTGGGTGTATTTCAAATTAATTGCACACCAGCATCACTCAGAAAATCTGACACACACACATACACACACACACACACACACACACACACACACACACACACACACACACTTTCTAGGGGCTATGACAGCAAATATTTGGCCATATGTGGGGGCAGCTTGTAGGTTTTGCCCAGAGTAAACACACCAGTGTGGATATGGAATAATAATGTGGCGCGTTTTAGCAGCTGCTTGGTCACAGCCTGTTTACAGTGTTGGAGGGTTCTCTTAAGCGCTAATTTGTCACTGTCAGCTTTCTCGCACTTTCTGTGCATTTTTTAAAAAAGTGTGAAAGCTCACTTTTTTTTTTCTTGGGGGGGGGGGGGCGCAAAGAGTGTGTTTTCATTCTATTTTGAGTGTGCTTGTGAGAGGATATAGAGTGTGTATGCAGCTGAGTGTGTGTGTGTATCCTATGAGTTTTATGGGTTTGTGTGCGTGTGCGCGTACGTGCCATAGTTCTCTGGCTAAGTAAGTTCGGTAAATGACAAGGAGTAGGTCTGAGTGTGGAGGTAAATACACAGCCATCCTGACGGGGTAATACACGGTTTAGCTCTGTAATCAGCACCTCAGCTGACGACACTGACAGCAGATTTATTATCCTCTGTGTGTGTTTCTGGCAGTGTCTATAGACTCGCACCAATTTATGTTTTTCAAAAACACATGCCCTTTTGTGTGTGTGTGTGCGTGTGTGTGTGTGTGTGTGTGTGTGCGTGTGTGTGTGTGTGTGTGTGTGTGTGTGTGTGTGTGTGTGTGTGTAATTATATGTTCATCTGTCCCTTCTTTATCTGTAGACTCACCTTTCTTGCACCATATCTATTTCTTGAGAATGCGTGTGTGTGTGTGTGCATGCTTGTGCTTGCATCTCCTGTCTGCATGTGTTTGTGTGTTTTGTTGTTGAAAGATTTACACAGCAGTGTCTCACATCCATCAGTCAAGTCTTGTCTTGTCCCAGTCTGCCATGTAACGAAGACTAGACACATGCACAGCCGCTGTGCTTTCTGGCACACACTGTCACTCCGCCATTTACCCGTGTGATACAATATGCAGGCCTCGTTTTAACTCTGAAAATAAATCAAAAAGGACAAAAAAAAAAAAAATTATATGCATTTTCTATGTTGGACAACAAGACTACATTTATTATTTTAGAAAAAGTAATTCAAAGTAAAATGGGGCCATTGTATATTGTGTATACTGTGTGTGCATACATACAGGTATACATCATCATATTTTGTGAATATGATTTCTCTTCATCTGCTGTCACACATTTTCTCTATCTGAAGGCAAATCAAGTCTCCGAACATCCAGAAGCAGACGGTTCCGGGTGAGATGAGGAAAGATGCCCTGACTGATGGACATCCGCACTCTTTATCGCAGGTTTGAATTTGTGTGTGTGTGCGTGTGTGTGTGTTCACATGCGTACATTCCTTGGTTTCTAACTTAGCTCTTCATCACCTCTTCATCCTGGAGTGTTCAGATCGAGTCATACTCGTTTATCATGCCCTCTTTTCTCCTCTTTCCTCCTCACCTCTTTTGCAAGGCATTCCTCACAAAGTATTATCTTTTCCCTTTCCTTTCTATCTCTTTTTTTGCTCACTGTCTTTTCACTCCCTTCCCTTTACTCACGTCTAGGCAGAGAGAGCCCTGTTGCACTCTTTCATGCCCACCTACCCTCCCCATCCTCCCCCTCAGTGCATCTCAGAGTCTGTCCTAAGTGGAAGAGACAGGCATTTAGTCCGGCAGAAATCAGCTCCATACGCCAGCAGGGAGCGGCGGCATAATGGCTCAGATGGGAATAATAAAGGACTGTGTCTAGTCAGTCAGGAGAGAGAATCTTGAAGTACCATTTCTGGTATCACTTGTATATACCTGCTTAGGTGTCAACATAAGTCTCAGCTGTTTACTTGACACTCTGTGTATATGTGCGTCTGTGTGCCTGCTTGTGTATTACCCTGCAAAGCTATGCCGAGGTGTTAATATGCAGAGTGCGCCATGCCAGGTTAGTCCCACAGGACCAATGAAGTAGAGTACACCTCTCTGTACCTCCCTGGCAAATAGAGCCGGAGCCCCTCTCTCAGTCTGTTATTTTGTTATTCCTGTGTGTGCTGGCAGGCAGCATCCAACATCCTATTTCCTCTTCTAAACAGTGTCTGAGTAGTACACATTAATATTGCTATAACCTGGAAAGACACATGAAGCGAATGCCAGGAAGAAAGAAAGAGGCACAGGGACAAGTGCAAGGGAGTAGTAAAATATTGACCAAGGGAAATACTAGTGTTAGAGCAGAGACAGGAAATCAAGCTCGAGTTCAAGTACATTGTGTTGTCAAGAGTCTGACTGATAGTGGTTCTTTGAAGATAACACTGACATCAATATTTAAAAGTAAAAAATAAAAAAAAAACTGATAACCTTTTTTATCTCTGTTTGCTGCATGGCTGTATGAATGGAAAAGTCGGTTGGTTGGTTCAGACTGAAATATCTAACCGTCTGACTGCCATGAAATTTGGTTCAAAAATTCAAGGTGCCAGAGACTATTGGATCATTTGCCATAAAGTTTGGTACACGCACACACACACACGCACACACACACACACACACACAAGCACACACACACACACAAGCACACACACACAGTCAATGAAGAAAAAAAAATTAATGATACTCGCATCAGCCTTAGTTGCACTTTGTGTTTAGTGCTATGTAGCAAGTGGTAGCATGCTAATACACTAAAGATGGTGAAGATGGTAAAAATGCTAAACATTAGCATGTTAGCATTTCCACTGTGAGCATTGTAGCACATTGATGTTAGTATGTTGACTCATAGAGTCTTGGTCTTGTTTTAACATAAATAAACATTTTTATAGGAACCCATTACATTTGGTTATCGAAGAATAGTGAGCAGATGTGCATTTTACTGATGAAAAAGTGCTTTATAGTGAAAAAAACTATGTAATGGCAAAGTACCTCAAACCTATCTTTGGCATTTCTGTTCTCATTTATTTATTTATTTATTTTTATTGGTCAACATATATGACCTTGGACACAACAATCCAAACATTTGACAATAACATTAGACGATAAGTCCCTGAGGGGTTTGACTATACATAATATAATCTGATATAATAAAGCTCAAGAACAGTATGATAAAATACAACAGCAATTCACTGATAGAGAGAAGGAGGAATATAGTATGACAACTTCAAAGTAAGACGACATGAGAGTGATTCCAAGTCACCGTCTGTGATGCTGGGATGTAGTAGAGTAGTAGAGTAGTAGAGTGTAGTATGCATTCTGTATATTGTGTTTGCTCAGCAGTCAGGTTGCACTGTTGCCTCTATCTTGCCCCCCCCCCCCTCGCTCTGTGTCTCCGTTTATCTCCAGGTCCATCAGGAACACAGCACGCTCCGAGGGTAAACACAAACAAACAGGGCCTTCCCTCATCGCTCGCTCTCCACATTCATCCAGGAGAGTTTATGTGGGATGGAGCGATAGCATCTCTCCGCTCCATCGTCTCCATCGCGCCACGCTGCACTTCACAAACACAGAGAAAACACACATCGGAAATGTTCACTTCAAGCCTTCAAACAGGCCTTTTATTTCTCTTTTATCTGTAATTGAGAGGCATCAGCGACACTCAATACTTTGTTTAGAGACAGAAGTATTACAGAAACTTTTTTCTTAAAAACTGGGGACAGTTAAAGAACATAGACACAGTGCAGGATTTTCATTCACTCGAGGCTTGTTCCCACAGTCTTTGAACTTGACTCAAACTTTATGAAACTTCTGGTCCTGCACACCATTTTTTAAGAACATAGAGGTTGATGCTGCACGCACAACTTTTTTTTTTTGACGGAGACAGATGTCTGTCTGCCTGGATCAGGCTATGTGGGTGAGTGGTTTGTGTGTGTGTCTGTGTGTGTGTATGTAAAGCTGAAGATCATAGGTACACAGCTGCTGGAAATGTGCATTCTCTCACTCTTTGCTCGTTTATTTTAGTGATTATAATCCCTCCATCAAACCAAAAAGGGCCAGACTCCATAATGATCCTTCCCAAGGGCATTAGGTGATGATTGGTGCAGCAGAGGCAATTATCTTTCCATTTCTCCCCACTCTCTGTATCTCTCTATCTTTATTGCCCCTTTTTTCCATTCTTTGTTTTCAGCCAGCAATATTCTCTTGTTACTAATAAAACTCACATAACACACAGATATGCACTGACACACACACAATCACACACAAATATACTGTACATGCACACACACACACACACACACACACACACACACACACACACACACACATACCCACATAGGCAGACAGAGCTTTCTGGTTAGGTTTCACTTGGGGGTCTAGCGGTGGCAGCCCCATCTCAGTGGGGTGTGTGTGTGTGTGTGTCTGTGTGTGTGTGTGCCTGGGTTTCTGTCTGCGGGGCGGGGTCAGACCAGTACTTGTTGATTCTGGTGCATCGAATTACTGCCCGTCTGTCACATCCAATTACAGCTTTGGACTACTGACGCACACAGCCTGCCTCTGTATGTGTGTGTGCGGGTGTTTGTCGCTCACCTCCAGCTGTGTCGTGCTGACGTGACGAGCCACAAGTATCCGCTTGTGATTCGGCTGGCTCGGCGCTATTTTCATCACGCTCGGGGATAATTCTGTTGCTGCTGTTTTAGTCAGTATCACTGAATTGGTCAGTTAATTTGGTCAATGATATATTTTTTTATCCATTTATTTAATATTTACCCTTGAATTTGAAGATACATCCTTACGGACGTCTTGATAGCATTTTTTTTTTTCTTTTTCCACACTGTTACCACAGCATTGAGCATGTGCCATGACTACTTGATATTTATAAGGGCCGGTTAATAAGCCATTCAAATTTATCCTGGCACTGTCTCATAAAATTACTTCCACGTCACTCTTTTCAGTTTGACGTGCCTTTAGTATCTCCTTTTTTTTTTTTTTTTTTTCCATCACAATGGATTCCCCATGTGTGAGCCACGGTGCTGTTTAGCCTGGAGCTCTGCTTTATGCAGCACAATCATTAGTCACTCAGAGTCCTGTCAGGTTTAGTACTGGTCTAAGACTCATGCACATTCGCATTGAGCTCTACCTGTCGCTGATGAAACTGCTCCCGAGCATTTGAATTCACCATCTGACTTTGAGAAACGCCGAACAGTCGTTTGTGAGATGACATGTCAGTTTAACAGTGTGCAGCGAGACTCAGTGAAACACTGAAACGCTTCAGCCAGAGAATTGTCATCCGTCACAATTAAGTCCGCAGTTTTCTCCATTACCACTTTTTGCTTTCTTGCTTTCTGGAGAGAGTTTCCTTCACATCTTCGCGAACACACCTTCTTGCCACCTGTTGCTTGCATTTTCTCATATTCATTTGCTTGATGCATCTACAAATGTGTTATCGAGTCTGTGGTGTTGAATCATCCAGTTTTCCTATTTTGCAGTGGTTTGCATTCTGCTGTATTAGCAACAGGTAGCTAACATGCAAAGAAACCGCTTCTTATCACTTCTCCTTACAGAAGATAGCACAAAATGTTACCATGACATTTCAAGGTGTTTTTGGCTCATGTGGATTTAGTTACTGAGTGTCTGATTGGCGTAACCCTAGTTTTCTCCATAAAAACATTGGTCTGACTCTTCTGCAACAAGGATATACCCCTGAGTTTAAATGAACTCCTGCTTGAAAGTTTCCCCTTGCCCATGTGACCCTGAGGCTTCTGTACTGCTCCCACAAACGTGTGAACGTGTGAACTTGAAAGTGAGTCAACTTTTCGGGAGTCAAAGAGTTAAAAAAAAAAAAAAGAATGAGAGAGAGAGAGAGAATCGGGGGTTTATTATTTCTGTCCAGTGTTTTCTTTCACAGTTCCATCACCCTGTGTGGAGAAGGATCAATTTCCTCCACTCACCATAGGTGTCAGAGAGGCCACACACAAGCGCTCCATCTCTCCATCACTTATCACTCTCTTCTGTTTTGGCTGCATCTATTTCTTCTAAGAAGAGTCGTGTTCTTCTCTTAGCACAGCTGTTCACCTGCCCAAGGCTTTCCTTTGTTCCTGTTTTACATGATTTGGATTTAAGCAAAGGGACAAACAAATACACCTTTTGCCCGTACAGTATTATTCCATGATGAACTTTTAGAACAAAGTATACTCAAAGAAAAACACTCTCTCCCCGGCTTTTGTTACTTTGCTTCCAATCCTCCTTTTGCCTCCCTCCCCCAGCTTACTCTTTCAGCTTCCCAGGGTGCCATGCAGGAGACGGCGGGGCGGATCAGGGAGTTGGAGATGTCACTGAGGGAGAGCATGAACACATCCGCACATAGGGAGGCTCTGTGGGCGCAGGAGGAGGCTGCCCGTGTTCAGGCCCAGAGAGAGGTTTACCTGATGTTACACACACTGTTGGAGGACTCCATCAGACCAGCATGCACATATACACACACTCAACTCATATGTATAGATGGTCGCATGCATTTCTACACAGGCAGCCAGGCCTACCTTTTAAACTGAGGGCAGGTATGAGCTCACCTAGGACTAAGAAGGACCTCTGAGAAAATGTTAGGGACCGAACTGCACCCCCATGTGGCTGAGAGCGTGACGGCAGGCAGACTGTGGTTAATGGATGATCCTTAATTACTTCATGTGTAGCTCTTAACCAGCAAAGATCATTATTACAAAATGGATAGTTGGCTTTTCCTTCCCGTCTCTTATTGTCTTTGATTCTTAATTCAGTTTTACTTTTCTAAACATGCTTTTGATTACTTTCTCCCTCTAGACTGAAATTTAAAACTGAAACGAAAAAATTCCAGCACCCTCCTTTCATTTTCTGTCTCTCATTAAGTTTGCTTTTGCATGCTTGAAAATGTAAGCATATGTGTGAATTATTGTCAGTTTATATGCATGTAATCAGAATTCATTAACAAAGCTTTAGACTTTGGGCTTGCAGCTTTGACGGAGTACAGGCTGCCCTTTTACCCTATATGTCCCGCTATCTATCTGTCTTTCTGACTGCCAGCTGGTCGGTGGGTCCGAGGTTTATGTGTGTGCTTTTGTATATGTGTGTGTGTGTGAGCATAGGTGTGTCTGTGGTGGGAAAGAGAAACAGGGAGAAGGAGCGCGTTTCCTCCTGGTGTGAGTGTGCATTTGAATGAGAATGACCTTGCATTACTTATGTGTGCCACAAGTAATGTGAGAGCAATCGGCGGTTAAAACAAGAACTAACATTTTTAGGCAGAATGGTGGCTGTATTACTTCAAACACACACACACACACGCGCGCACACACACACACACACAATCACACACACACACACACATTCAAAGACAGAAGCTGATAGAGGAGAATGAAAGGAGATGAAAAGAGGAGATCGGTGGACTGAGCGGGAAAATAAAAGAGGGTCAAACTCGGTTTAGAAAATTCAGTGAGAGCCAATGCTAACTGTGGCTTGTTTTTTTCCTCCTTTTTGAAATTTCTGTACTTTACACGCTTGACTTATAGTCAGCGTGGATACTGTATGTTTATCAAACAATATTATGATCGGCCGAGAGGTCCGAAAGAAAAGTATATTTATGTCTGTGGGACATTTCGCATGCATAGAAGTGGATGATTCAGCTTTGACCTAAGTTTACCCGTGTGCAGCCAAAGAATCAGGGCAATCCTTTCCTAACTTGTGACACGTTAACACTCACTGACCCCAAAAGTAATTGTCAAGTTACTTTAATTCCAAGTCAATCCAGGTCCTACGCATAGAGAACATACTGAGCCCGCATAGAGTTACAGTCACACTGTCGACACAAGGGAAGACGCCGCTCAGTCACTGATGTTCACTGCTAGGTGCTGTCAGCACTCTGAACTTTGTGAGCCAACGCTACATCACCACATAAGGAGGCAGCGAGTCAACATGCCATTAACATGTAGTCCCGCAGTCGTCAGTCAGCCGCCTTGCTTGCCTCAGACTTTAGAGAAAACGAGTGTGTGTGTGTGTGTGTGTGGGGGGGGGGGGGGGGTAGAATAGCGAGAGGGACAGGTCCTTCTGAAACATCACCTGACCCTGGCACCATTTCAGAGCGCCCTGCCAGACTCACATTCTCACATCCCCCCCCCCCCTCGCTCTTTCCTTGATTTTCTTCTTTCTTCTCCCCTCTGTCCCAGAGTAATCAGTCTCATGATGTGTAATGCGCTGAAAGTCTTCCATCAGCCTGACCTGCTGAAATGGAGCATGGGTAATGCCCTGGGTCACTTTTCTTCACACCCCCGCTCCCTAAGACTCAGTCCGCCTCTGCCTCTCTCTGTTTCTTGACTTTCCCCTGGCATCATTTCTGCTGTCCATCCATTGTCCCGAGCCTCGTTCTTTCCCATCTGCCTTCTTAAGTTGTCTCACCCAATTATCTCCCCACTGTCTCTCCCTTTCTCTCCATTTCTGTTCCTGTCTCTCTCCCTCTCTCCCCCCGTATGGCGTTTGAACTAGGCCTTTGAACCAGCAACACCGACACAAATGGACAAGAGGGATTTGGCCCTTAGCTCTGAGCCCCCAATCAGCTTATCAACTAAAGGGGCTTTGGGCCAGTCTTAGTGAGCCTTAGGCTGGCTGGGGGGGCTTTGCCTTGAAGTTGAGCTAAATTAGCACGCACAGGCTCACCGGTAAGCTGATTAGGTCCCTAATTTCACTAAAATGCATTGTATTCCTTATTAATGATGTGATTGTGAAGTGAGGGCTAGCCTGGGTGGTGGACTAATGGGGAACTGGGAGGGGAGCAGTTGGTGCATAAGGGCTGATAGACATGTGGTGAGTGTAAATGGTGTGTGTGTGTGTGTGTGTGTGTGTGTGTGTGTGTGTGTGTGTGTGTGTGTGTGTGTATGTGGACCCTTGGCTTTCAAGATGAAAAGATTGGCTCTGGATTCTTCTAAGCCTGAAATAAGACATCAAACATTTAACGTGGTGTGATTTTGGACAGTTTGATGTCTTGATGACATTGGGTATATTAGCTGCTGGACACTTTAAGAGGTCAGTTGTTGTTGGCGGGGATACAGGTTTTATGTTATTTGAAACAATGCCTTGCTACATTTCCAGGAAGTTATGACTGTAAGTTGTCACTTTCCCACCATTTCGAATTTCTTTATTCCCCACTTCCTCTACTTGCACCCTTTCTTCTCTTACCCCATATGTGATATTCATGAACAGTCAGTGAGCACATTATCTGACATCTGTGAAACACACCTAGAAAACCGGCGGAGATGGAGAGTGTCCTGAAAATGTGTGAACGATTTGGCCCCTTCATAAAAGAGGCCCATTTCTTTTTTCATGTCCTACCCCATGGAGTGCTTTCCCCTAATACTCTTTTTCTCTCTCTATTTTTTTTTCTTTGCCTCTCCCTTACTTTCATTCCCTTTGTTTGTTTGAGATCCAACACTTCAGAATTTATTGTTTGACTCTCTTATATCACAAATCTGCAAATCATCAGACCAGAACAAAGATCTTATTCTCTATTCTATATATACTATCATCTTCTCTTGGTGATCATCTGAACAGTCCTGACTGGTCCTGGATCCTGTTTTGAAGTACTTGTTGTTAGACAATTAGACACTTCCTGTCTTAGGATAATGACGCCCTCAGGTCACATCCTGTCTATCAGACAACTCAGGTTGGACATGCCGACCTGCGTGGCTGGAGGGCACGTGTGTGCAGAGGGAGGAGATGTAGTTGAGGGTTTGAGCATTATTCTCACCTGCTCTAAAGTAGAACCACACTTAAGAGTGAAGTAAAATAAATGGAGAAAGGTGGGGTCCTCGTTTCCTGCACAAGGATCAGTGGACATATCATTCAACTAACCTTTGAACCTGAGTAGTTTCACCTGCTCCTTGTTGTCTACCGGCCATTCCCTCTCATGTTTAGGCATCTTACCTCATTTTAGCATTCCAACACACGCACCGTCAGAAGTATACAAGTACAGTTGCACATCAGATACACACTTCGTGTGTATCTGATGACCTCACTGTACCATTTCCATGTCTGTGTGTGAGAGACTGGGCATGCATAAGTGTAAAATAGGTCTTGCATGTCTTACTTTCTGTAAGACAATGTATGATTCAATCAACACTTATTGCATTTGGGAGAAGAGCCATGTGCATGAGTATCCTGGTATGCGTTCATTCAGTTTAAACCTGTGTGTGTATATATATGTATATCTTCCCTTCTCTAGCTGGAGGAGCTGATGGGAGCTTTGGAGAAGACGCGACAAGAGCTTGACGCCACCAAACTCCGCCTGTCCTCCACTCAGCAGTCCCTGCATGAAAGAGACGGACACCTCAACAGTCTGCGCCAGGAGAGACGCAAACAGCTGGAGGAGATTCTGGAGATGAAGTTAGTCCCACATCTGTCTGTCTAATCTTATAAGGGATACCGCGATCACGTTTTTTCTTTTTTTTGCCGCTGATACCAATCATGTATGAGTGTCATCAGCCGATACCGATCATTTTTGGCATGCATTGCAGATGGCGCACGTTATGTCAGTCTCACACACTTTGTAAAAGTTCCACACGGCCGACATGTCGCTTTGTTTTGGTGGCCTGTCGTGCGCAGGTGCATTGAACAAGGTGGGAGGCGGGACTATACTACTCAGCCACAGACACCAAAGTATGAACCGCAGGTAATCGGTGATTGGAAGCTTTAACTCCAATCTACCAATCACGTATTTTTTATGAAAATCGGTCGATAATCGGTGGCCAATCAATCGGGGCATCCCTAAGTCCTATCTATCTATCTATCTATCTATCTATCTATCTATCTATCTATCTATCTATCTGCCTCTTTGTCTGTCTGTCTGTACAGTACAACTCTTTTCAAGTGTCCCTAAACAGCAGAACAAGGATCAGTGCAGGCCACACTGAATAATAATCACAAACTCTGTTAGCATATGCTACGTTCTCTACATTCATGGCGATGCATCTCTCTAATCAGTAAGAGAAAGACTTTAAGTGCTCAGTAATGTGACGTAAGACATACAGTCAGGGAATATAAACCAGTGTTAGCGGTAGTGACTGCACACCCAGCCCATAAAAGTATATGATCAAGTATATGATTTTTAGTGATGTTGGCATGATTCACTCAGTGCTTCATCAGGAGCATTTTCATTACTCCGCACAGCAGCTTTGTTGCTTCAGCAGAAACCTGTGTCTAATACTGCATCAGGCACATATATCCGCTCACCTGTTCACATGTGCGGCTGCGCACGGGTGTTATATAGACATCAGCGCTGAGGTGTGTTTTGAAGCAGGATCAGCTGTTGTCTATGGCTGCCTTATGAAAAGTTACATTTATTGAGGACAGGTGGTGCAGCCTTAGACAGCAGGTCAGGAGAAAATATGTGTGCGGCTGTTTCTTCATGTGGACGTGTGTGTGTGTGTGTGTGTGTGTGAGAGACAGAGAGAGAGGGAGGAAAACCAAAAAAAAAAAAAAAGTGCAGGACTGGCTGCATTTCCATGTGTGAGTGTGTGTCAGTGGGTATATGTATGAATGTGTGAGCGAGTTCAGTGATCTGTCAGTGGAGCGGCTACATGTGTGTTTGCTTTGAGCGCTTTGATTGAAGGAGCATGGAGCCACATATCTGGTTGTCATGTGCCGCAGAGAAATGCCTTTAATGTCAGCCACTCAGTACAGTACAAAAGGGAAGGCTGGCACACATGTATTGAAAACACAACTTTTTTGAAATCCATTATGCCTCACAAGCTCCTCTGATCACACTAACTCTGAAAGAATGTGTGTATGTGTCCGTGTCTGCGTACAGTCTGTGGATGTGTACGGTTACAGCTGAAAAAGACAGTGCCCTTGCCTGTGTATCAGCACACACACACATACACACACGCGCGCGCCCGCACACACATACACACAGACACACACACAGACACACACACATTTGTGATACAAACCATCTTCCTGTCTTTTCCAATTTCCACCATCCAAACATTACCAGGGATGTTTAGCAGAGGAAATGTATTACATATGATACAGGCACAAACCGTGCTTCTAGGTATGTACATGAAATTGGGAAAACGCTCAGGGACCTGACATGTGAATGATACTTTTGTACTTGACTGGCATTAGGCATAAATCATTATTATATTACCATTAGAAAGACGTCTGAGAAAGAAACTCAGTGTGATGGTTGGTTGACGTAAACAGCAACAAAGCAGATGGCATTCTTCGCTTTTGTGCTCGAGACTTCGAGTGAATACAAGTCGACGCTGGTCAGAGCTAATGGAAGGGGCACAGGGGGCATGAGTGCGTGTGGTCTCTTGTGCATTGGGCTCTGTGTGTTCTGCGTGTACGAAGAGGTCGGAGGCTGGGGTTTGGGGTCACTGGTGATGAGGATTAAAGGACTGTTGAATTGCGAGGGGGGTGGGGAGTGGGGGGGGGGGGGGGGGCAGGGGGTGAAGCTTCGTGAGACAGACTTACATCTGAACAAGCCACAAAGATACGCACGCAGAATTTACACACAGCCTCGGTGGAACTCACATATAATCACTCATGTCTGCAGACGTGCACGTACTTACACAAACTTTGGCTTTCTCCTTTAAAAGGGGCCATATTCCCACAGCACAAGCCCTGGTCCAAGTTAACACAGGGGAAACTAAACAGGAAAGATAGGGCAGAGAAAGAGAGGTAACAAGAGAGAGAGAGAGGGAGAGGGAGTTAGAGTGAAGGCAAGAAAAAATGAGACAGAGAGAGAGAATGAGAGGGAGGTGAGGATGGAATGGAGGGGCTATACAAACTGAAGTATTTCAAATCTTAGAAATCATGAGAGAAGTTTGATTGCATGCCAAGTTTCTCCTCCTCTGCGCCGTAATGTGGCATTTGTCAAGAAGACCAGCTGAAGCAAACCATGTGAGGCACGTTCCCCAGTGAACTGGGGAGCTCTCTGTGTGTTTTTAATGTGTGTGTGTGTGTGTGTGTGTGTGTGTGTGTGTGCGTGTGTGTGTGTGTGCGTGCGTGCGTGTGCGGCTGGATGGGGGAGAGAGAGAGAGAGAGCAGACTCTTTGCTTTTCAACACTGTTAATGAAAGAGACAAGAGGGGGAAAAAATCATTTTCAATATCCTCTCATTGCATGCTGGGTTTCCTAGCTCGTATTGTTTGTGTGTGTTTGTGTGTGTGTGTGTGTGTGCGCGTAAGTCTGTGTGTGAGAGTATGTGTGTGTAAGAGAGAGAGAGAGAGAGAGCATTTTCATATTTGCGTTTTTCAGATATAGAGCTGAATGCTTGATGTATAAGGAGTGGTGCAGGGTCTGCTCTGTCACCCCACACCAGATTGAGTTTCCTCCATACTGTACACTATTCACACACACACACACACACACACACACACACACACACACACACACACACACACACACATACACAGATGGCCTCCAGAGGAGCTAGTAATTTAATGAGTCTAGGGTCACGGGGTGTAGGTGCACAATAGAGAAATTATGTGTTTGGACATTTTGAATAGCTAGTCATTGAGATGTTTCCATAGTATGAATGGGATAATACTACATGCCACAACATCGCAGTGGCTTACTGAACCTGATCCTCCTGTAGACACTGGGAATGTAGCTGATATTATCTCTGTTTACATTTTAGTGATGGAAAAAAAATGATAGAGCAAAGAAAAGGTAGCGGCAGCTTTTAGGCAGGAACATAAAGAGATGGAGAGTAGACAAAGAGGTAGAGAAGGAGAGAGTTGACAATTTAAGAGATGGAGGGAAAATCATGCACACATTCACAGACTCTATAGACTCTGCAAGACAGTTGAGGAATGAAAAGAGAGAAGCTGTAGCAGAGGGAAAGGAGGAAATAGTAAATGATGGAAAAAGAAGGATGATAGAGTGTTAGAGTGATTGATGGAGGGGGTGATGGATGGAGGAAAGGAGGAGGAGAATGATGGAGGGAGTGGTGGAAGAAAGAACAGGGAGAAGATGGAGTAAAGCTGTGAAGGGTGGGAGAGAGTAGAGTCTGGTTAGCAGAAAAGGGCCAGAGAAAGAGAGACGAATGGGACAGAGTAGAATAACCATCTGCACCACATCACGCAATAAAGAGCGTTCTAACACAGCTGTTAATTACCAGCCGCTACAGTGTGTGGCTGGTATTGGTGTATTGGTATTCACTTTGTGAGTGGTGTGGCCTGATTTGTAATGATGTAGTAATGACCACTGACAGGCGCCGCATATGTATAACAATACTTTTACTTACTTTTATTTATATAAACACATGAAACCGCATGAATAGTAGCTGTTGTGTTGGTAACAGCTGATAGGGATGCATAAATAAATAACGTACAAAACGACAATGGAAATAGATTTTTTTTTAGCCTGGTTTTGCTTTATTTTCTTTTCTTTTGTTATATTTATCTACTTTACCAAAATGCCCTAAATAACATGTTGAACAAGAAAACTTAATTAACATCGAAAACGAATTCCTCAGTGTAAAATAAACACAGGAGCTTTGCTAATTACATACTCTCATTATGCCTTTGCACCCCCTTTGCTCGAATGTTCGCTCATCAGTGGTTCATAGAAACATGCCTCGTGCCGTTCTACAAAAGCAAAACTAAGCAAAATATCAACTATATTTAAAGCTCACTTTCTTATTATCATGTCCTTAAGTCAAAACCCTCACGCAAAGACAAAAGAGCTATTCCACATGATGGAAATGTAATATTATAATAATGTAAAATTCACTACTATCCATGATGTGTGTTCATGTATCCATTTGTTGGCCAGTTACAGTAACCCATGGCATAATGAAGCTTAGAGCAGTAGCGACGTTATGACTTTCAAATCCCCAATGTAGACATCCTGTCTGCACAGCACCGTTGCCATGGTTACACTTGCTAAAAACACAGAGAGACCAGCTGTACTGGCAAGGTCATGTCCCCGCTCACTGATCTCTCTGAGGGGCCTGGACACACACACACACACACACACACACACACACACACACACACACACCCTCACAATTTCAAACACAGGTATACACACATATACAGCATGTGCACTCACGCACATATTGAAACACGCTCACATTGAAAAAGTATATTTACACATTCATGTATTCAGCCAAATGGCACTGCGTTCACCTCTGTGGCTTTGAGATCACATTCACGTATACTGGCGAAATCGCGAGCGCGCAACAACATATGCAAGGACTTATAGCAGACACACACACGTATGCACGTTCACACAGCCGCACGTGCGCATGTATGGTGTTACCCTGCCATTGTTGTGATAGGTAACGATGAGACATAGAGGGCCGGTGCAGTGTGTGAATGGGATTCTCTGTGTTGCAGTGATGAGGAGGGGCTGACCACACATCACCTTCCTCTC